TTGTGTGTGTGTGTGTGTGTGTGTGTGTGTGGGTGTGTGTGTGTGTGTGTGTGTGTGTGTGTGTGTGTGTGTGTGTGTGTGTGTGTGTGTGTGTGTGTGTGTGTGTGTACCTCTTTTCAGTTCTTGCGTCTGCTCGGGCAGAGAGTCAAATATCCGCGCTCCGACACTCATCAGTTTCTCCACCCGCTCCTCAGTGATGTCTAAGGGACTGGGGAGCTTCTCACACAGCATTGCTACAGTCTGCGTTAAAGAACACACCAGATGCACAGACATCCCATAATATGCTCACACATAACCCTCCTGTTCGGTTCCAGCACTGAGGACATGAAGACACGGGACAAAGGATACCGAGGACAGCCTGGGACACAGGTAACCACTGGCTGCAGATGGCAGACAGCAGGACTTTGGGGTCAGAGTGCCGGGAGTCCCTTGACATCACCTTCACCCCCAGAGAGGACAGCACCTTCTCCACCTTGTCCTTGTCTCTAGTCACAGGAAGAGGAGAGAGGGCCTTTATAGAGACTGTGGGACGTAGATAACACACACTAACACTGTTCCATTTTGTGTAAATATCATGAGCATTAATGTGCTATCGTGATCCAAGCTTAGGCATTTGTGTGTTTTTGAGAAGCTGAGGCTTAAAGTACAACAGTGGTTTATTTCAATATGGAGTGTTACTATATATATGCCAGTTAAGGCTCTATGGGTGGTGCCAACTTTGTTCATGCCAACTGAAGGTTAAAAGAAACAAGAACTTGTGCAGAACAATATTTATAACGGACAGTTTCACTGAGGCTATTTTTTACCTGAATCATTTCAAACAAACGAAAAAAAACAAGAAGTTTAATGACGATTGTAATGTTTTTTGCCTTTGGCTAATTGTCAGAAACAATTGTGAGCTTTTCTCTTAGCCATAGATGTAATCTTATATCATAGTGGGTCCAGTAAACTGTATAACCTGAGGCTGTTTTTTATTGATTGTCACAGATATTGAAAACCCTAACATTATATAGAGTTTTAGGTGGCTTGGTCCTGCCGCTCTGTTTATCCTTCCAGTTAAACGTCGCTAAATAATTTTTGTTGTAATCATAGAGCTGGAATTCTCATTGGTAGACAAACCGATATGCACGGATTCATAATCAGGGTGGTAAGGTCAGCCAGTATGTTGCGTTATGAATGACTTTAAACATCCCATAACAACAGAGATTTTGTTCAATTAGGAAAACAATTCAGCTTGCCATTTAAAAGCGTTCACCCACCTACTGGTGACCACAGCGTCATACAAACTCCAAATGTTGTCCAGCACCAGCTGCACAAACAGAGGCTTCTTCCCTTTGGCCTGCAGCGAGCAAGAAGATGAAGGTAAAATCAAGATGGATGAACAACAGGTTTGACTGATCACTTCAGTTGATAGCTTCATGGCTACACGTAGCTCAGATTGAATTCTAGTCATAAATGCAGAACTATTTCCAACAGTCATTTCATAATCTCAATAAGTGTTTGTGTTTCTTCTGTAGTCTTTGGATGTTGCTGATGTTGTCGTCTGAAACTAGAAATGACTGCAGTGCACTGATTATAGAAACTCTCCTTGTAGGGTTGGTATAGAGCAATGTTTTTGTTAATAAGCAAAGCTGCACTAAAATATTGGGTATATAACATTACTCTGCACCTCAGTGTTTCCACATTAATTACCTAGATATGAAATAGTCTATTTCAGTGCCCGGTGCAGAACCAAAATTATTGACTTTTCACAAAGTGAGGAAAGTCAATAATTCCAATTTCTTATCACAGCTAATATTAATGCACCATGAGGTGCCAGGTTCCAAAAGCAGGTTGAACAGTGAGGAGGCTGCTTCATGTGAAATGCTAATCACACACATTTCTACCCTGACCAGATACAGCTATCACAATAAACAATGAATCCTTATTGTGGTCATAGTTAAAATATTAGAAACTGTGCAAACTATTGTCAATCAGCAGCTTCAGGACAGTGATCTATCACGCCTTTACCTCAAAGCAATTCTGGTGGAGCACTACTACTAACTGAGTGAATGGTTAGTAAGGCAGTGATAATTTAACCTGCTAACAGTTACGGTACGTCCACACAGAGGCTTTGGAAAAAGCTTGCCGGCGGGCGTGTCTGAAGCTCGGCCAACAAACCAATCACATGAATCTCCCGCCCCTGACACACAAGCAGCGGTTTGATTGGCTAGAGCTTGTACTGCCATATGATTTGATTGGCTGACGCTTCCACCGAAAGCTTCAGAAGCTTCAAAAGTTGAACATTGCTCAACTTTTGCAGCCTAAAACGCCATGAAAGCTCCGCTCTGCTACCCACAATTCAGTTCGGCGAAAAGCGAGGCAACGTGACGTCACCCCATTCAAAGTGAATGGGCAGACGCGTTGGAAACCGTTTTTGAAGCTGTCGAAGCTGTAGTGTGGACGGGCCGTAAGTGTCACTATAGTGCTGCTCTGCAAAAGAACAAACCCTTATTTTGAATTTCCTATCTGAATTCGCTTTACATGTTTCAGTTGACATTATGTCAATTGGCTGACTTATGTTAAGGTTAAAAGCTGAGCACTTGTTGAACATTGTTGGCCAAGTGGACACGGTTTATAAGTACTATTAGGAAAAAAAGAGTGTTTCCACTATCAAATAACCAAGAGTACCTTCAGTAATGACCAGGCAGACATGTTTGTTCGGGGCCTCAAAGGCTTCAGTCTCTACTCAAAGTAATATAGCAGAATATTCATGGATTAAAGGCACTAACTCTTCCATTGGCCCATTGCCTATTACATCAACTATAACGGACTATTTGCTCACATGCAGTTCAGACAATGCTTGGCATCCCTCTCTCTCTCCGTCTGCCATAACTCCTTTTATTAATTATTATGAGCCCTCTGATTTTAAACTCTCCCCCCCCCCATCTTTAACAATCTACTGAGATCAGCTTGGTTCCTTCATAGCTAGAAACATCACACATATTCAGGAAAAGAAAGCCACGAAGATGTTCAGAGAGATATCAAAGGTAGAGATAGTGTTTGAAAGGAAATAATTCCGGGTGGGAGGGAGGAAAGTGCTGTGAAGACAAATGTTCTTGTTTGCCCGTTGTTCCCAGATTCGGGTCTATATCACATCTCCAAGTCATATGGTGTGCTTTATCATTTCAGAGAGGAACAAACTTTTTCTGATCTTCCTCCAACCTCCACTCCTCCCAGTGCACAGAAACAGGGATGCACGCAATCATTTAACCATCAAGGCTTTCCTCTAAGCTGAGAGACGGATCGATGAGGACACAGAGATCACAAGAGCAGAGGGGGGGGAGGGGGGGGGGGTTGGTTGGCTCAGATATGGATCAGTTTTTGCTTAGCATGTAGCAAATAAATGCTGGAGGGGGGTTATTGGGATGGAGAGACCACGCGACTAATCAATCCTTACCCAGCATGCAGACTGCAATCAGGAACTGGTCTGCGAGGTAGGGGGACAAGATGGTTAAAGTGAAAGAGATCAACATGGATGATCTGAGGGAAATGTATTCAGTCTTGTTACAACCAGACTTGAATGGACAATCACTCAGATGCTCTGACACAAAAAACGGCATATAAATAGAGATGTATCATATCTCTGTGTACGTCGTGCTCATGTGTTGCGTGTGTGTCTACATTGGGTATGAAGTCAACATGAGTCCAGATTGGATGGTGTGTGTAGTGCACAGTAAACATGAGTTGAGATAGGAAGAAAGGAGAAAGCCATTACAGATAGGAGCCTTGGTCTGAGGCTGCGTCTAAAGCAGGGCTACTCAGCCAGTCAACCAAAGGCTGCTTATCATGCCGCAGGTACACAAAGGCAACACGCACACACACACACACACACACACACACACACACACACACACACACACACACTCAAAAAAACGATTATAGGTCTGAGTTACTCCAGTCTATCTATTTTGAGTTTGTTTAATGAAAAATATATATGTTTTGAACTGAACATATTTATATCTAATAGAACCAACATATAACTATGTGATTTTAAATTAACATGATTTG